CCATGTTTGCAGTGGTGTCTGAGCTTTTCCTAGAGACCAGGGAAAGGTCCTGGCAGTGGCTAGGGAAGACTGGAGGAGGAACTGAAAAGATCAGAAGACTGAAAAGTCTGAAGAACAGTGAAGGACTGAGCAAGAAGGTTGTGGCAAGATGTAGAATTGGGAAGGAGTTGGAAAAAACTCCTTTCCTAGAACCATGAAACGAGAGAGAACAAGTAGAAGCATCTCTCCTAATTCAAGACACTGAAGATGAAGCCAAGATTCCTCAATCTCGCTGTCCTGTGCTCTCTGGAGATCACAAGGACTGGCTGGATGCCCTGCACTTAGAGTGGTCCCATGGCATGTTACTGCCCTTAGCTACAGCCATTTATTTTCCATGTAGAAAATGGGAAGAAAAGGCTTGAAAGTACAAGAAAAATAATTTAAGGAACAGGGAAGAATGTTCTTAACATCAGAGGTGCCCTTACTATTAAATGAAAAGCTTTACTCATTAGCTGTAGCTGTGCACTGTTGTTGGTGTCCTCACACGCATTTACACCCAGGGAACAGCTTTACACCACTGCAGCAGTGTCCAGGTAACATTCACTGCCTCAAAATAGCACCATGAGGGCTGCTAGGAGCCTTTCATCAAGGACACCCCTGGGAAAACAGCAGTTACAAGCTTTGGAACAAATGTAAGGAGCAGTGGGAAGAGTTTCATGAACAGGCATGGATAAAGGTGGCTGCAGTAGTGAAATGCCAAATACCTCAACAGCTACAATAAACCTTCAACTCTCCCTGCAATTATTACTCATTTAAAAAAACCAAAACAAAACCAATGTAAAACCTAAGGCTTAATTTGAAAATGGGCAAGAGAAACTGTTTTCTCTTAAACGCAGTAAGTCAACAGACTTGGATGGGGCTCAGCAGGCTTCAGGCCCCAGCAATTGTTGTGTAAAACTGCAGGACCCTTCTAACAAAATTGCCTTCAATTAAAACAAAGACTGTTTCTAGCACTAGCATAAACTAATCACTTGAGGTGAATCAGGTGCATCAACTCTGAGTGGCCTTGCTCTGTTCCCTCTCTCTGTCATTTGCAGTTCAAGCAGGATGGTGGCCATGCCTTCATCCTGGACAAAGCTCTGGGCAGCAGCACACAGCGCTGGCACAGCCAGCTCAGTGTGGGTGGGCACTGTCAGAGGTGCCCTGCCAAGCATCCCTCCCAGGCCCTTCCCTTTTCCCATTCTCACTTTTGACCCTTGGCCACCTTTTTCCCCCTTCTTTTATTGCTTGCCCTTTCTTGCTTGTTTTCTCCAAGATCTTTTTCCCATAGAGATTCTTATGGCTTGGTCAGGGAGAGGTGACAGAAGTGGTGGAAGGAGAGAAGGAAGTTTTTGAAGAAACGAGAAGAGCAAAAGTCATCTTCATACAACTGAAGAGAGCACATATCTTAATTAACATTTCATATATTTGATTGATTTACTTGGCCCCAATTAGGCACTGCTTAAAACCCATTTATGTAAGACAATCAAAAGGCCAGCCACTCAAGAGCTGCTCCAACACAACACAGAGCTGTTCCCAGAAATGTCTATGCAGGTAAACCAGCCAGCAGGGTATCCCTGTGCTCCCTGCAAATGGAAGGACAAGCCTGGCCCCTTCAGGCACACCTGCAAGTCCAGCATCACCTCTGTACCCCACCCCACATGCTCAGCTCTCCGTGTTCACATTGAGAACCAGGCTCAGACAAAGCAATCCTTAATAAATACCAGATCACAAAACCTCCAAACCTCACTCAACACAATCGATTGCACTTGCTGCTGCTTGCCAGAACCTACTGCCCACTAGCCAAGGGCAGGCATAAAGGCACTGCTCCATCCAACACTGAGCTCCAAACCACTCCATTCCTTGCAGCTTTTTCTGACATTTCTAAGTAGGATCCAGTCTTTAACACCCTTTTGGGAAAACAGCGAGGAGAGTAAGGACCTGGGTGCTGGTTCCCAGAGAGGGAAGGAAAAGTTGAGTTTGGCTGCTAGTCAGTAACGGCACACGCGAAAGAGACAGGACATGGCTTGGGGTATCTGGGCAGGAGCATGAACTTAGCCCCTGAGGGACTGTCTGGGTGGCAAGGAGCCCAGAACCGCCACCCATCCTGGCCCTGTTTTCCATTACCTCAGCCCACACACACTCCCACCCTCCTGCCAGCCATGCTCCAGTTGCTTCTTTGCAAAGGCTGCAACAATTGCTGAGCACAGGCAAAATAAGAGCCTTACACTCCTCACAGCCCCTGGACTCTGAAAAGCCACTCTGGCAGGTTTGCTGGATCACAGGAGCAAACAGAACCACAGGACAGACCGACCTAAGGTGGCCACAAGCACTTCTCTCCAGCATCCCTAGGAGTAAGGCCCAGACCGAAGCTCCTGAGAGGACAGTACCACCTCTTCTGCAGTGAGATGCCAAGGGACACCAGACTTGGAGACCGACTAGATCCACATGGAGCAGCTCTATCAGAAGCCAGCCCTGCAAGGTCACACACACACTCATGGGGTGGCCTCCCCTTTGTCCCACACAGGGAGACACCAGCTACCTGCTCACTGTAAGGAATGAAACACATACAGAAGGAAATAAACATGGAAAAAGCCAGAGCACGTTCTGCAACAGGATAGACAGCAGTAGGAGAAATTCACCTACAAAGGAAAAGTGAAGGCACCGCTAGCTGGAGAGGCATTTCACCATCCTGTAAAGGAAGTGGTTTTCCCATCACAGAGTGAGGAAATATCAATGCATTTGTGGCTGTAGAGCTCCATGCTCTCAAATAAGCCATCCTCGAGGACCAGGATCATACAGAAGCTTAGAACCCCTCAACACAGCTATCAAAACACTCCAGCTGTGTTGCCATCATTACCATGGCAAGAACATGTTTCAACTCTGCAGAAAGTCAAGTCAAAGTCAAGTCAAAAACCTACATCTAATATTTGTCTTTTCAACAGGTATTTTCACATCTGAGCTTTTTTTAAAATTCACCTTTGAGGCTCTGTTCAAAGTGCAAGAACTGGCAGCTGCATGTGAATATTCAAGAGGATACAGCTACATCCAGAGTCATCAGATGGCCAGTCCCAAAAGAAGCCAGGGCTTGGAGATGTGACTAGCACAAGAGCAGAGGTAGGGACAAGGCCCCAAGGCAGGAGTGGGGCAGTGACCATCCCTCACTACTCCATAATCTGGCAGCAAACAGCGGGGAACCTAACCTGGGCCAAGTGAAGTTTTTTTATGCCAAGAGGGTGCCTCAAAGATGCCTCGTGAGGTTCAATAGCAGCCTGACAACGACTTGACCTACATTATACCAGCACAGCAAATATTTCCTTCAGAGCTGCCCATTCAGGCTCCACCTTCCCCCTGCACTGCTTGTGCAGAGTGCAGCTGCACCCCAGACCCACTTTGGTCAGTCACCTACAGACAACACCCTGGCTTTTCTTAAAACTTTAATAATCAGAATATTTTACTGGCTAGAAAGCCTCTTGCTGAAATTACTGTACAATTTTCACTTCTTTCAGCCAAAATTGAGGGCAATTTTGCTTAAATAAGCCTGTCTGTACCATTAGCTCTGTTTCACCAGGGAAATCTGCTCTCACTTGTGCATATGACATCATCTATTGACATAACCCCACCAAAACAGCATTTCAAACCCTTATGCTCTGCCATTTCACATGCTGCAATTATACTCAAGCTTAAAAGAATCTTTGACACAAGACTTGCACCGTTTTGCTTCTCTGCCATGCACTTCACTTGGCATTGTTTTCCCAAAAAGAACTATTTGCCTCTAGAGACTTGCACTGCTTTCCATGACACCTAGCACTTCAATTATAGGAACTAAGGGTTTTATAATAGCAAACATAAAAAACTCAGTGGTAATTTTACAAATCAAACTGTGCATCCTAAACAACTTGTAAATGCCCAGTAGAACAGACCCCTATGCCAAATCAGCACAACCCAGTGCGTGTTCACACGTCCTGCAAAGCCACCTGCTGGGTCCCAAGTGTCCCTGACATGGGAAAAACTTCAACCTGCTTTACTCAGTCAGGGGACTCCCTGCTGTGAGAACACCAGTCAGTTGTGTTAAATCTCCAACACAGCAAGGATTAAAGCAGAGCTTAAGTTACCACACAACTGTTTGAATACTTTCCAAGCATACTTTCAGTCTCCATCCCATTACTGCAGCTACTGGACACAAGATGCAACAGTCAAGCATTGGATGTGACAGAGACAGGAGCCTGGAGGAGTGTCAGCCCCAAGGCACAACAGCCACACTTCCCTTCACCTGAAACCACCTTTGTGGTTTTTACTTCACGTGACAAGAATGGCCCAAGATTTTAACTCTGGCTCTTAGCATCGTGTGTAGGCCAGAGGACCTGAGAGGAATTCCTGATCATCTAAGCTTTTGGATTTATGGAAGATTAATCTCAGCATTCCCAGGAATTTATCCACAGCCTCTGAACTTGCTCAGTGAGCTCTCTAGGCACACCCTACAGCACTCAAACTTATTCTCTCCACAGAACCCTCACAGAAGTCATTATATGAGACAACCTCAGACTCTGAAGCCCCTCAGAGGAACAGCACAAGCCAGCAAATCCCAAATCAAAAGTATGGCATTTTACAAGTGGAGTTCCAGGCCCTATAAACCCAGTAATTACAGAGAGAAACCGTAAGCCAAAGCACTATGAAGCAGGTCAGGAACTGAGATGCAGGAAGGGCTGTTTTAGGCAATTATAGAATTAGTGGTCACTCCCAGACAAGAATAAAGCCCCGCTTGCCACTCCAGTCTTCTCACCAGTCATCGGCTCATTAGCTCCAAAGCTCATGGAACTGGAGTTGTTTTTGAAGCAGACAACACACAAGGATATTTTATGTGTCCTTGGTAAAGAGAAGTAGCTAAAATACTCAAAGGTATAATACTCAGAACTTTAAAGCCCCATTATCCCTGGGTTCAGTATGCACACTCCCACCATCCATAAAAAAAGAAACAATAGTACTTTATTAAAATACTAAATTTTTATTTTTTTCCACATACATTTAGTCTCCCCACCGTTTCCATTTGTCTGACCACCACCATGCCTTATCAAAACATTCCATACATACTTAAAATGAAGCTGAGGGTGGAGTCCCGTCTTTAAAAACTAAACAGGCATTTTGGACAACACATTCTTGGCAAGGTAATCTGGATGACATTTATCAGACACAGGAGGGAAAGCTCTTTCAGCATTTGTAAAAAGAACAGCCAAATAATGGTTACAGAAATAAGACTGCAGATTTTAATGAACTGTTTAAACTGTTTTCTTTTCTTACAGAGTCTGCCTCCACTGCCAGAGAGCTTGAATGACCTGGAAATGTACACAAGAAGTTAGAAATTGAAATCCGTTTTTAAAAATTATTCTTAGTTTACTATTTTCACTTATTTGATAAAATACTGACATTGAATTATAACTGAAGTACATTCAGCAAAAATCAAGCTGAAAGCATGACACTGAGTCCTTCTGCTAGAAGACTGTTACTCACACTAGGTCACAACTATAAGAATTCAGTGAAGGTGAGAGGATGGGTGTGGACCAGTGAGGCAAATATTGGCTGAATTTTCTCTATGGTGCCTAATGCCACAACAGCTCCAGTAACTGAGGCTGACTGCTTTTCAATGTTCCTTCAGGAATGTGTCAATTTGTCCATCAGACAAGTTTACTCTGAACCACTGAAGGAAGCAGGAAAGAATAAGCAATTCTGTCACTTCAAAAAAATTAACCTGAAGGAATTTTGATAGGAAAATCTAAGACACATTTTCAGCTTAGTCTCTGTTAGTAGTAACTAATTCAGAAACTTGTTTCCTGATACCACCTTTTGGCCTGTGCTCTTTTCAAGAGCTCAGATGACTCTGGGAGAGAATGTAGCAAGAATGCCATCATCTCAATCACAAAACAGCTCTCCCTCCCAGACACCCTCCCCAAAAAGGGCTGAACACCAGACTGGCCTAGGTGGCCAAATTCAGCAATAAGGGAAACCACAGCTCATTTCCTTAGCCAATATGGTGCCAAAAGGAAAATTCTGTGGGTTTAGTAAGCAAGAGATAATTTAGCAACCATATAAAAGCTGGAAAAATGTAATAAAATACTAGCTTTCCCATCTGAGCCAACTAAACCCTTAAAACCATTCCCATATATTTAATCTGAAGTATTATTTATGGTTTGTAACCCTTTCAAACAGTCCAAAGCTTGTAAAGATTAAGAAGTGAAAAAGAATCCCTAAGTCAGGTTCTAAAAGCTTTTGGACTTTATCAAGTTCTGATGAATTCTGTTACCTTCTGGTCCTCCGTCCTGAAGCAATTCTTAACGTAGTTGGCAAATTTGGGCTCCAGCTTAGGAAGGGTAGTACCCTATTTGGAAAAAAAGCAAGCTTTAGGGTCTGCATGTCATTTAATGCTTTAAATAAATAACCTATGAAGCTGACACCTTTTGCAAAACAAGTGGAATTTAAACTCACATTGCAACTTCCCACATTAATCTGCTTTAAACTATTTTAAAAAGTTTTTCTACCATGCCCAGGTATTTCTCACTGAAGTGGCTACACACTGAATTGCTATTCAAGACTCTTTGCTGATGCTGAAGAACACAACAGCATTCACCACTTAAAATCACCTTCCTTGTAGTCAACAGCCTGGTGCTAGTCAAGTAAACTAGAACTAATTCCCTGTTTATGGACTCTTACTACAGCCAACCTGAGACCACCCTTCACAGGCAGGCTGCCAAACTCACCTCTCTGAAGCAAAACATGAACTGACCTCAGACCTACCTTTTCAAACTCACTAATACACTACTTCTATTAATTTAAAGAACTGTTGTAGTAACATTTCCTTGTAATCCCTGGAATTGTCTTTGCACATGCCCAAATGTACAAGGCAGATGCATCTCCAGGGAAAATAATACAGCATGCTATTTTAGGAGACACTGATGTCCTTTCACAAGTCCCAAGAGAAATATTTTCCAATTTCTCAGGTGAAATCAGTTGAAATATCCCATTCCAATTAGGACAGCACACTTAGCTGCTACTTAACACACTACACAAGACAGCAAATTTCTGTTCAATGGAAACAGCAATGTGAAGAATATTTCAAACTGCAATGCTGCAACCAAGCCTGGATTTGGGTACTGATTTACCTCATGCTTTTCTCTTAGCTTCCTGACACCTACTTGATAGAAGAGTTCCTCTCTAATCTAGTAAGGGACTTTTCAAAAGCTGTTACTTGCTGTCAGCTGGAGCCCTGCGTACACAGAATGGCATTTCCCACTAGAAACACTCTCCAGCACCAGATAATGTATTTTAAAGCTCTTTTTGCCCGTTATCTGCTCTGCATGCTTCCCTGCTCTGCATGCTTCCCTCTGCAGGGACATGTCTGCTGTGAGCAGCTCAGCCACTTGTGCTCACACTGCACCACAGCAGCAACCAGGGGTTACAGTGTGACACCCCAGGATGGGCCCATCCATCATGTCAAGCTCACAGTCCAGGACTGTGTATTCCCATCCTCATCACAGCCTGTCATTGCTCAGCCTGCATCCACCCTGTATTCAAACACTTCTGGTCTCATTTTACACCCCTGGAACAAAGCAGCCTCAAAACACTAATGGTCTAAGCAGGAGATGATCCTAACCCTCTGAGTGACCTTCGTTTGCCATTGTATGGGGTTTAAAAGTGTGTTATCTTGAACTAAAAAACCCCATCAGCAAACCAACAATGCTTCCTAGCACCCTTACCAGTACTTCTAACCCAGCCAAGTACAGCCACAGCCAGGCACTCGCTCCCATCTGCTCCCAGCAGGGGAGTACTCAGGACACAGCCCTTGCACTGTGCACTTCAACCCTGGTTCAGGAGGAAAAGCATCACCTGCTACACCCAACCAGCCTACAACTGGATTTCCTATTTTATACTTAAATAGCAGCTAAGAATACTACTGACATGTGTGACCAAGTGCTGGTCAGAAGTGATTAAGAGCCAGAGCAAGTGACTGCCCTGACACCTTCAAAGGGTGAAGCATCCACTGAAGGGAGAATCAAGTCCAGATCCCTGTAGAAAGCAAAAGCTTTGAGGTCTGTAGCAGTGTATCAGCTCACATCACAAGCACCCATCTCCCTCTTCTGGAAGTTACTGAGCCTTACAAGCATTGGGACACTGCTTCAAGACCACGGCATTCCAAGCATGTGAGGAACTCACTCCACTTTACTTTAGTAACCTGAAGTGTACACACACTATTTAAATCATCTTTACAACAAATACCACCTAAGGGTTTTTTTTTTTTCTTTTTTCTATTTTTTTTTTTTGTTCTTAAACCTGAACAGAGCCAGTTCCCCAAGAAATGCCCAATTGCTAACCAGCACTACTGGAAAAATACTCAAAGCAAGTGGTTTTGTTTCTCTCGAGTACAGAGGCTTATTTTCCCCCAAATGTGTTTTCATTTCTCTGGGCTTCAACATCAACACACTGATTAACAGCACAGCAATCAGCAACATCATAACCATTTCTTAAAACATCCAATTCTTCTCATCTGCAAAAGTGTGAAAGGCTGAGAAACCTCATTTCCAAAAACTCACCTTATCTACAGATGCTTGCATTTTTGCTTTTATCTCCTCTAATGACAGAGGGACTTTTGGTGTTTTTGGAGTTAGAGTTTTATCCTTCTTGGAATCTGGAGTCTGAAAATTATTCATCTCATTAGTAACTTGCACATAACGATACAGAAAATGTAAGATAAATTTTATAAAACTAGCTATTACACTGATAGTCCATGTAGTTTTTAGGAAGTCACAAAACCTGAATTCATGCATCCCACACATTCCTTAGAAGCACAAGAAAGAACAATTTTCAAGTCTGGAGTTATTATAGTTAGCATAGCTGGTATCTTATGCTTCTGGGCAGGTGCCTCCACAGCTCTTTTAATAGAAATGAAACTAAAAACAGCCAAAATATTTCGTGATTCAGAGTTTAACTCCAGATCTGCAGTCAGATTTTAGGTCATGCTTTAAAAGGCACATCTACTGCAGTACTTCTCAGATGCTGTCCTGTCATGCACCCCATGCTCATTTCTGTATGAACCTTCCAGGCATCATGTCTGAGTACTAGCAGTAAGGAGAAGCTGCACACAGCATTAACAAGGAAATTGCCAGTCCTGCAGGGGTAACTGCAGGGCAGCAGCCTCCACTGTTCTCCAGTGGAAACACATTCAGCAGTCATTCTCTTGTACAAGATGCTGCACAAAATGAACAGTTTTAGTGTTTCAAACCAAAGAATTACCAATATTCCCAATGGACAGTATGCCTGATTTCAGATTTGACTGTTGTAGGTACATATTGATCACTGAAGAGTTGCACAGAGAACGTGAAGCAGTGAACAGTATTGTCAATACCTTCAACTTGAATGTTAGCATGCTGTTTGAAGTTACCATCAGGCAAGAAAATTAGCTTCCCCACTAGAATAGACCTTTGTTTCACTCAGTTGGTTTCACTCACTTTTGATTTAGATGCTGGTGTGGATGGCTTAGAGTCTTTTCCATTTTGCTTTGCTTTCTGCATATTCTTTCCCGCAACCTCACGAGCAGGCTGAAAAGCAAGCACACAAGCTAATTTGTCAAACTGCAGACAGCATGGAACCCAAAAGAAAGCATCTTGGTGCAGTCACACACAACAGGTTCTGTTATGATACCATACAACTATGTGGGACTCCCATCATACTTTCCTTAAATAGATCACTTTTCCTCATGTATCAACAGTCTTTGGGGGCAGATACTGCTTAAAGATTAATTCCTGGTGGCACCGCAGATCCATGACCTCATTCAGTGTTACCTTTCTTTTGTAACACAACTATTACCTCATCTGGCATTTCACCCAGAAATATTGTCTGGGATGCACACAGAACGTGATACCACACACACATCTAAGACGTGGAGTCTAAAATGCCTACAAAGATCAAGGGACCATTTTGTTCAGTGACTCTAGATCATATCAGGTGGCAGGAATCTGCAGTTCAGAGCGTCTTCACCATGCCCCTGTGCACTATCACCTGACAGAAACTGGGTAGGGACAGAGCAGCACGCAGTGAAGTAAAACACTAAATCCCTGTTTTTGAACAGTAGGCATGAACATAGAAACTCAGGCCAAAGTGCACGAGTGTGAGTAAAAGAAACGCCTCCCTGCTCCTCCCACACAGCAACAGGCGGCGCTCGAGGGCCGGCAGAATTTGCTCCCAAGAGCTATCCACACTCACACCAGTCTGACAGCTGCATCCCTGTGCTGGCAAGACCCAGTCTGACTGTTGCAGCCAAGGAAATAAAACCATAGGCTAGATGGATGCACACTCATACACACCCCTCGTTCACACGTTCCAGAGAGCTGTGCTAAAACTCACTCATTTCAGGGACTACCTGCCTGATAACTGTCGTATCACATATTAGCCACTTACTTTCTTTATTGGTGCTTTAATTTCTTCCTCATCATCCTCTAAGTCATCCTCATCACTACAATTAGAAAGGAAGTCACTCACCATAACTCAAGATTCACATTAGGAATTGATCTTCCCCCTCCCTCCCAATAAAATGCATGAAGGAAGCAAGCTATCTTTCCAAGTTTACTTTACCCCTTAACACATGGCTAAGTGCTAGGGCAAGCACTACCTTTAAGGCAGTTAAATGCATTCCCTCCTCTTTAGTACAGAAGAAATATATCCTAGGGACTCTCACTACTACTATTAGAAGTTAATGATAACAGGAAGTCCAATATGACATATAAGAACATTATAATTTAGATAGCATTGTAGAGACAAATAAGGCAAGGATGCTTTTACTCTACCCAAGATCCAGGAGCTTTTTCACTTAGCATTGATTTATGTCACACAATTCATGTTCTGAAAGTTAGCTCTGTATTTTAAAACATGTTTTAAAAACAACAATACGTACTCATCATCATCATCCTCATCTTCATCATCATCCTCATCATCTTCTGCTAATTTTGGCTTTTTCTTCAAAAAAGAAAGTTTGTCAAGTGTTGATTCCATTTTGTGGTAATAAAGAGCAACTGCCACCCAAAACAACTGTGGCCTAAGTACACAAGGCTACTTTCCATCAATTTAGCTAAACCCAAGAAGTTACAGCTGCCAAGTCCAAAGCTATTGACAAGGTCACTGCATATGCTCTGAGCATATGAACTTTCCTCTGTAGTACAGCTTTGATCATCATCCTAACTCTCACGGTACACTGCTGTTTATATCAGAACCTGCAGTTACTGCAGCGGACAAAATTTCCACAAAAGCAGCAATTACATCTTCACGAGAACTTTGGGGACCTACTGTACTTTATTACACTTCTTTAACAGCAAGGTGTTTAACTGCTTCCCCCTAGAAGCAGCACTAATACCGAACTAAAAGAAAATGCTGTGAATAAAGTGACTGCAAGTCCATATACCTGTGGTGTTTTAGCTCCTCCTCCACTTGCTGGTCTCTTTGTTGAAGCATTAATGATTTTTGTATCATCTTCCTCCTCATCTGATTCTGGTTCTTCTTCTAATGCTGATAAAAGCAAAGGCAAAGTATAAAAACTTCTCCTCATTAAACAATATAAAACATGACTGCTAGTAAGAAACAAAGAGGACCACCCACAGCTGAGTAGGTTTGGTGTGGCTGAGGTGCTGAATTGATAGGAGGAAGGATAACCACTGACTAGGAGCTTTTCCAGCTGACTGAAGCAGATAGAACATTTTCTCCATTCCTAAGGAGACACATTTGAAAACTAGTATAAAAATCAAAGACAACTCTCCAACTGAGAAGGCTGGTGCTGGGTTAGTTAAGTTAAAAATCAGAACTATTTCATGGGCAGTCTTCTCACACTCAGCTCATAAGCCAAAAGCCTACAGTGGGACACCAACTTCTAAGGGAAGAAATCAGAACTGAAATTGCAAGGCTGACAAATGCCCGTTATCCATACAAACCAAGTGGCAAGCAAAGGCATGCAAGCACTCCTCTCAGCTTTGGCCCTAAAGCCACTTCATGCCACTGAGGATATGACCTTAAGATTCAGAGCGTCAATACCAGCAAAAGTACTGCTTGAGACAGCAGCTACACATCCCAAAGTTCTGCTGGTGCTGCCAGGAAAGCAGTGAGCAGCCATACGTACCTACGAGGTGCTGACCACTGACGTAAACAGGCCCTGAACCACATTTCAATCTCAACACCACTGGTGGTGTGATCTCAAAGCCGCCCAATGAAACCTGTGGGACAAAGCATTGGTATTCAGATGGATATTCCAGGTGAAATGTACTCAAGAGACACTCCACCCCAGCGGAAACAAGCATGAGCACTGGAGACTGCATGGCTAACACAACTCCAAGGTCCCATTCCACAGAGTATTCTCCAAGTGTTAAAGAGTCAACTCAGAGCCACCAACAGGGGTTTACTACACTTGTTGCTTATTCCAGTTAAAGCACACCAAGGCCAAACGAATACACATTTGTTTGTACTCCACTTGGCAGCAAAGTCTACTTGAACATTATCCATCCCACCTGCCCCAGCACTCTGCAGCTCTACTTGTACACTATCGTCAACTGAGTCCAACTACATTCCAGACAGCAGAAATGATAATAGCGTGCCCTTAAATCAACGGAGAGTAGCAACCATCTTCAGAGTCACCTAAGAGCTTGGGACCTGCAGAAAAAATTCATTGTTCTCTTCCCAGGTTTAAAGAAAGCAAGACAACCTAAAGATTCATCTGCTTGCATATGCTTAGACTTGTACGTATATAGATACCATGCATAACTACTGTCACTTAAAAAGCGTGTAATTTTAACAAGTACATTGTCTCCAAATTACTCAAGTAACTCTACTAGGCACAAAAAAATGTATTTACTACCAGTGAAACAGGCACTTCTTGGAATACACTGTTCAGTTTCACTAAAATTCAGTTTAGTGAATGACACAAGCCATTTTCAACTTTTTTCTCACTAGAGACCATATATACAGTATATTTTCCCAAGTTTCTGCACTTACTGTAGGCTGCACTGACATTTTCAGAGATGCCAGTACTACTTTTGTAGGGTTGCCTTCATAGTCCAGTGCTTCTGCTTCTACAATGTGTAATTCGTCTTTGGCTCCAGCTCCTAAAGTAACCTGTGAAGTCAAGAACAGGGCACCGTCTGAGCATCTTCCCAAATATTTAAAAATTTTCTAAACTCCATTCACTGTTCTGCATCAATTAATACTGAAATCTGCATTTCTGACTGCAAATGATTTCATCCAACTCCATCCCAAGCTGATACCCTTTCTCCACAACCCTGAAACTTCCAAGGTGCACCTCCAGGCAGGTTCTGGTGACAGCAAAATCAGGTCACTTGCTGCTGGATCACGGGACTAAAGAGGCAGTGGCAAGTTCAGCCAGCTCTACAGCTGGTCCAAGGAACACAGCATCTGCTCTACAGAATTACAGCCTATAGCTTTCCCCTTCCAGCCACATTTCATCTGCCAATTGCTTCCCTTTACCGCACTGTGCACCTTTTGCTTACCTGCCATTCACTGAGGACTCAAATTGAACAGCAGCTTAGTTGAATGCTGTGATTTATGCATATGCCTTTTGCTGTAATTCACCATAGACTGAGAACTGTTGACCCAAGGCATTTCTAAGCCTAAGTGCCTAGATCCCTTACTCTGAGTAAGAGTCTGCCACTTTCTGAAGAATCAAAACTCATAGCTGCAAGGACAAGTGAGTCACGGACAGTGGTTAGGCCTGAAATTCCAGTTCACTGAACCTTGGGCCTCTCAGACATCTGAATGCAGATATGCAAAAGATATGAAAACCAAGAATCCCTTGTACTACAACTATTCCCAAAAACAGTGCACAAGGCTGTTTCCTTTCCTAAACCCCATACAAAGAAAGCCTTCCAACCCCCAAAGATGATGTGGGTATGAACATTTCAGGTAGAGGCAGGCAGACTGGTTCACATTCTCCAACAGCTGAACTTTAATGAGGCTGTAATGGTCCAGACTTGGATGTACAGACTGAAGGCTGGCAAACAGAACACTGGATTAGCTACTTCTGGTAAATGATGTTATTAGCAATTTGAACAGATGAAATTGCAGCTCTAATCTCACCCCTCAAATGTGCTAACAATACTGAATCATTCAGTTAGTGAGACAAAAATTTTAGAACATGACCTGTCATTTGCCCCAGTTCAACACTACAGCACTTACATTTAATTTATCTATTTCCAGTGTTTGGCAAGCATCCACATGTGTGATTTAATTTCTACACCGAAGGAATGCACACTAAGTAGGTGATGAAGCAGTGACCATCCGTGTTCTTAGATGCCATTAGTAAGACATTTACAGAAACTCATGGCACTTTTACCTCCTGCATCCATCCTCTTTTCCCTTTTTCCCCTTCTCATCTTGCCATACCTCATGCCCAAGTCCAGCACCATATTTGTATCTTAACAGGCATTGTCTTTACTCCTGGGCTTTTGTCAGAGGCACAGATCAGCCCCCAAATGTTTACTGCCTTTACACCTTACCTGTAAGTCCTTCCTCTACTCAACAAGGTGTTTTTTGGTATCTTTTCCTATGAAAAGAGGTTATTGAGGTAAGACTTCATTTCCCCCACAGGCCTAACAACTAAGTAGTGGTGTGGATTGATCTGCTTCATCCCTCACACCGTACAACATCAGAAGAAATGCTACAGGCACACTCGAAAAAAAAATAAATAAATAGAAAAGAATTTTGAGTAAAACAGTACAATTTAAGTATTATTGACTTCATCTGTGTAACATCCAGATACAAGAAGTCTGCATATGGACTTACCCTATATATTATTGGTATATTCTTCTAGCAAAAGGATTTGCAATTAAGAACAAATTACTCATTGTCAAGTCCAGGCTATCCTTTTTATAATATAAAAGCATGGAAAGCACGTGACTCACATAATTAACAAGTGTTTTAAGAAACACCATGAAGTGTCTGGAGATCATTATGCAAGTGACCTCCAGGAAGCAATTCCACTGTAGGAATTAGTCCACAAATGTTAAGACTCTCTTGCTTCCAGGTATCAAAGCATCTCCTTGCATTTAAATAAACACAGTAATAATCAATAGAGATTCTACAACTCTTCAACTTCTTGTCTTCTCAGATAGGGTATATTATTGTTCAGCTACCCAAAAAACCATCGTTAGTCCAGCAAAAAAGCACTGAAATATGTGTCTGACTTGTGTGGCACCAGAAAGCTCCAAGGACACAACCAGGAACTCTTCAGGAGTCTGTTAGATTAATTATCTGAATGAAAAATAGGGTTTCCCAGATACATCCTTGGAGAGGACAAACCAAGGACAATAAAACAAACCTCCTTCCTTCCAATTTGGATTTACTTATTATCTGCTTCTGGGAAAGAAAAAGGACTGGAGCTATATTTGGAAGCATATTGAAATAGTTTTCAAAATCAAGTTCCTTGTAGTCTATAAGAGTGTACCTATGTATGACTCCTACAAATCTATTCTTCCCCCTCTGCCCCTGTAGCATCTGCACTATTTGCATTAGGGATGCCTGCGTGTATAGTCTGGCATTTAATTCCATTTACCATATATTTATTAAATCCACTGTAAATTGACTTCTGATTTTTTCCAGCCTTGCATTTACTTGCTTTCAACATTGAAACAGGAACAGAGAAACTTTTCCAATATAGAAAATACCTGAAATTACAGACTATGCTCCACTACCAATAAGAGATGGTTATTTTTAACAGATTTATGTAACAATTATCACTAGAATTATAACTGGAGAAAAAAATAACAAGTTAAAAAACTCACGTCTTGCATCACAGCCCACCACACTTAAAATGTAAAGTGTAAAAACCAAATACTACTTGCCGTTCTCAGAGACAACTGGTGTTCATTTTCTTCATCATCTACTTTAAACTGAAACTCCTTATCTGCTTTAAGCTCACAGCCTGCAAGAAGACAATTTAATTATAAGCCTGCTGTTTTATTTAAGGCGCAAGTATTTGCTAAGCAGTTATTTCGGAGCTCGCTGCTCCCAGGCCTCGTCCGTGCAGAGAACTAGCGGCACCCCGGGCACGCACGGAGCCAACACGTGGGCAGAGGAAAACCCCAGGCGAGCGCGCGGCCTGCTGCCGACCACGCAGCTCCCGCGCGGCCCGTTCAAGCCCATCCCTGCCCAGCGTTCCCCGCGCCGACGGTTTCTCCGTAGCCGCCGGCCGTGGGCGGCTGGGCCCTCCCGGGGCGATGGGCAGCACGGGCGCGTGGCCGCGCGGCGCTCCACGTGCTCCGCCTCGGCCGCGCTGCCACGTGCTCCGCGGGCGCTCCCGGCGCGCCGCGTCCTTAGGAACGGCCGGAGGCGCCGGGAACAAAGCGCGGAACAAAGCGGGACGGGCCCCGCCACGTGCGGGCCTCGCGCCATTTGGGGCCCGCGCGAAAAGGGCCCCTGCGCGCCCCCGGCGCCGGCAGAGCCCCCTCCCCTTCCCCCGCACGCGGAGCGGCGGCGCTCGGCCGGCACAGGCCGCGGCCCCGCACGGCGCTCGGCCCCGGGGCCTGCGGGGGCGACGGGGCCAGCGGGCCCCGGAAGAGC